TGGGTTGCTGTTGGGGAACTTAATTTGAGTTACTATTATTGGGGAAACCCTATTATTTACTATATATAACCATTATGGTAACTTAATTTAAGTTCCTTAACAGCAACCCAGACACTTCCGCCAAAGAAGCCGTAGCCCAGCACGCCAAAGCTCAGAAGAAAGGCTTCCGTGAGGGTCATGCTGTAGACCACGGCCTTGGTCCATTGCTTCCGGTCTTCCATCATCTGGTAGATGAGGGGTGCCTCGCTGTGGGCCAGAAAGCAGAGAAGGGCAATGCCAAAAGCAGACGGAACACCTCCTGCTTTCAAGAGTACCTGGTCAGATGCGACCTCATTCAGAGATGAGAGCTCTGAACCTGTGATCACAAGGCCCAAGATCAGAAGGACCTGGGAAGCCATGCCCAAAACTGCCATCACCGAAAAGAATCTCTTCGGAAGAAGGCAGCAGCTGAACGCCAAAGCACAGGAAAGCACAGCGGTCACGTTGTGCTTGAAAGGTAGCAGGAAAGGAAGCTGCTCAATAACGATGCTCACTAGCACCAGTGCCCCTCCGGACAAGTCGAAGAACATGCAGCCAGCAAAAAGCAGGCGACCAACGTTCCCGAAAGCAGCGTAGCCGATCAACCCCCAATCACGCTGGGAGCGGGGCATCCCCATCTCCTCGGCACGCTGATCAAGGGAGCTGAGCAAGAAGCCCATGATCCACAAAGTGAATCCCATAAGCACTCCCACAGCGAGGAGAAGTGGGACAAAAAGCCATCCTGAGAGTCGAAATGCATAGGGCAAAACCACGCTGCCACCCCCCACAAAGACATTCAACATGGTGACCACGGTCCCGGCCAATGAGACGCCTGGGCTTCGAGGCGCCACTACCCGGGCTTCACCGTCCTTAGGCTCAATGGCAAGAGGGACACCGGACATCTTTGCCTTAGTACCGGGCTCTAAGAATCAAATAGCGGGGCAACGTCCTTGCGTCGCTTTGAGCCTTGAAATAGAGCAATTCAATGGCGGGCGTTGCCACATAGACTAGGTTCTGAAAAAACTTTCAGGTAGTCAAATTAGAAGATGGTCTATGCGGTAGTTTCCATAAATAGGGGACCCCAATGTCGAGCCAATCCTGATTATACGGACCCAAAAACACCCTTCATTTGGGGAACCACATGTAGGGAGCTGACTTTGATGGCCGTGTTGTTGGTGGCTGTTGCCTGGCATCAGGATCAAATCTGAAGCAGGAATGTAGGGGGTACCCTATACTATAATTCTGCAAGCAATCTAGGGCCATAACATTCTTAACTATTTGGGCTTGTGCGGCACACTGCAACTCGGAGGCAGGCTGACGACGTACGCTGTATGCTGTCCCCTCCCTCTACTATCCTCCCGCACGAAGCCCAATGTAGGCTTGTTGATGAACCCTTTGGGGCTATTGCAGCCCTTGCTGTGTTGGGAGGGGTAGGGGCAGGGATGGTGTGCCTTTTCTTCCTTGACCCAAAAGGATCGAGCTCAGAGGAATGAATGGATTCAACCACCAGCTTCTGATTGCGTGCCAGTTGCAAATACAGCTGAGTTGTGAATGGTTACTCCACGGTTACTACGTAACTGGCCATCTCAAGCATTTTCTGTCTTGTCAGAAACGTTGTTGGCATGGCCAGTTCCCCATCAAATTAATCTTGCAACCTGAACATGCCTTCAAGTCCTTTGGTTGGCTGCGGGGGCCTGGAACCGACGCGCTATTTGGACAGCTGGCATAGCTATCGCTGGGGCGCTGTACCTGGCTTCAAAGGATGAGGCATCTGCCAAGCTAGGGACCGGTGGCCTGCAGGTTTAACGATTTTGGGCGGGTTTCCGAATGTTTCCTGAAAGTAGGTGTCCGTCCTTTAAGGGGGGTCCGTACTATAGTAATTTGGGCGAGGGACACCCCCTGGTTGAAAACCCCCAGGTGGGAACGGCGTAGCCCTCCTTTTCATAGGGGGACCGGAAACTGGCGAAGGGATTCAGCATCTAGCGTCGGCTGTAGATTTGGGCGCTGCATCCTGGTCATTTATCGTAAAGCCACTCCAAGTTCAGGGTTTAGAGTTTAGGGTTTAAGGACTCTCGCAGACCCTCTTAGCCCCACCCGCAAGGCCACGTAAGCATCGTGGGAGCCCCAAGCACATGGGGATCAAACGAGAGCTATGTCCACATACATGAGCACATTGGCACATTTATTTATACACACACGTATATGTGCAGGTGTTACTCTGTGGAAAACTTAAGGGGCGTAAGCTAAGTTACTATAATAAGGAAACCCTATCATTTACTATATGCCCACATTATGGTATCTGAATTAGAGTTCCTTAACAGCAACCCAGTCGAGGATTGTATGGGCACCCTCTGGAGAATCTCTTAAAATCCCCTAAACCCTACACCCTAAGCCCTTAAACCCTAAACCCCCAAATCCCCTAAACCCTATACCCTAAACCCCAACCCTAAACCCCACTAAGCATCCTGCCGGCCCAATGGCGTGCACACCGCTGCCTGCACAGTCGGGTGAAGGTTCCAGACAGTCTGATTCCCCTGTTAGGGATCACGTTTTTTGGGTTTAGGGTTTAGGGTTTAAGGTTTAGGGACCAGGATTTAGGGTTTAGGGCTTAGGGTCGAGGAGGATATATAAATCATGTAAGGGATCCTAGGATCAAGTACCCCTTAACTAGTTCAGGAAACGCTAAATCATATAATGGTCCCCAACATGATTTAGCGCATGCCGCATATTCCTTGATTCAGCTGTATGTTTCGTGGTATCAGAGAAGGAGTGAATGTCACTCCGCAGGTACACACTGTTCATGTGAGCCGTTGTCCAGTATCCCTCTTAAAATTAAAAACTCCTCTACTACTCCCCTCTATAATCCCCTGTATGCCCCCCTTAAGGAGTTCAGACTATAGCTCATGTAGGGAGTTTATGGCCATCATAGACTTTTTGCTTAGGGAGTCTCACGAGCTAGAATGAGGATAAGCTCACAGTGGGGCCTCATGTCCCCATTATTGGTTGCAATGCCCTGCGGTATATACCTATAGCGAGGGTTGTTCGTATAATCTGCTACTTGAACTCTTTGTCCTGCTTAGTAACCTGGGCATTCTCTTCATGATTCGCTGCATCCTTCAGCCATTCTTTCTGGCGTCCCTGTCGAGTTGCACATCATGATTACAAAATTTATGTTAAGTGCAAAGTGATGGTAATTGTGGGCCCAGGCCACTGCTATTCAATGTTGCGCAGCGGGTCTCACCACCTGAAGCCAGTCCCTGGAACTAATTAGGCACGAGTGCTCAGAAGACAGATGTCAAGGCAAAAGCAGCAAGTGAGAGAGAGCCGGAGGAACGCGCATCGAGCAAGTTGCACAAGACAAGAACGGAGATGTAGCGAACCCTAAGGGTCCAAGGACCCGAATAGTAGGATTTTTGGGCCCAGATACCGTTCATAGTATAGTATTTGGGCCCTAAAACACTATTATTTTGGTCCTTGGACCCTTAGGGGAATGTAGTGATACCAAAGATGTCCCCAGTCTGTTTGCCCTTGCGGCCCCTCCTTGGAGGATCAGGACTTCGTCGGTGGGTTACTGAAGGAGGTAATGGGAGTTATTGATGGCTTACGGGGGTTCACTGAGTCCCCGTGACCCTGGAGGTCTTATCACCGCTATATCACCCCAGTGTCCATTTCATTTTCCATGTTCTTTTCCAATTGATTCTCCGTTGTTGGAGGTAATATCCCTCCAATGATCCCTCAAAGCAAAGATGGCCAGAGAGGCAATGCCCAGCGCCCTCACTGTAACACGCGCAGCGCGCAGCCAGCGCTGCGTTTAGGTCTAAAGCTCACCCTAGCCCTGGATGCAGAAGCATTGTGCTGACTTGACAGTTCCACTGGTTTTCTCGTTCAACATCAGTTTGCTGATTGTACAAGGCCCTCACATGCACACGATCTGATTCTTGGACCTTACGCGCGCAAGCCTTTGTGAAATGCTCTCCCCGCCTTGCAGCCACTCGCCATGCAAAGCGTTCTGGTTGGCAGGCCTTGCTAAGGCTTAGGCCTTTTTTTGTTTGAAAGCGACCGATCTTATTAAAAGCGGAAGGGCGTGTGAAGCAAAAGACGGGAACAAGCCCAAAGCCCCCCAATCAGGAAAGGGCTCCTTGCCTGGGAGAGGCCACACCCCCCGATCTATGATCATGGCGACCCATGAGTCATGGCCCTTCTGAGGTCCCCGCAGAGCCGCGTGCTGAGCCGACTCGCCATGACTTTTGCTTCTTATTTGCGGTTTCTCTTGTAAATCTGCTGGAGACTTGGTGATGATTGCGGGTGGGTAAGGACAGTCGGGGAGATTTATGCAAATTGAATGTGATTCTCTTTGGACTTGAGGCAGGGCTCAGTACCAGCTTCGAAGTCAGAATCTGAACTGACCAAGGTTTACGGCTTAGGATTGTCACTCCCCAGGCTGCGGCCAAACTGGCACACTACGTGCAATCCTTGAAGCTCATGTTAGTTCCTTACTGGTCTTTCAAGTTGAAGGTAAAAGTCTGAACGTGCATGTGGTGTTCTGGACGTGCACGGGCCTAAGTAGAAAAATGCCAGAAAGCTGCAGGGAGGGCTCTCAAAAGCCACGGGATCAAACTGTGAGACACATTGCTGACAATGTACGGGTCTGAATGTCTACCATCATCCTTGGAAGTTTTACTTTTGCCATCATCACGCATACAAGGAATCTAGGTTCATCATGCTGGGAATCATTTAGGCTTCTACATTAGATGCAGGCCGCCATGGCTCCGCAACTCATCACGGTCTGCCACTGTTGGTCCACTCCTCTTTCCTGAACAGCCAGAACAACAAAGAAACCATCCGCATCAAGAATGGAATCGTCATCATCAACCAAATGCACTGCAACAAGCCCCTCACTCTAAAGATGAATGTCCTCCCCACTGCGCAATGGGCGTACTTGTTGGGGCGAGGCGTCTTTACACATCCCCCCCAAACCTAAGGGGCAACTGTTTTTCAACAAGTCTCCAACATGGGGCAGTTGAGCAAAAATTCTGTTCCCAACATGGCCACTACGGAAAAACATTTTTCCATAAAGACCTACAAGTTTCCTAAATAATCTCCCCAAACGACCTTTAGCGCAAGACCGAAATCTCAAATAGTAGCTTCCATTTTCTTTTCCATTATCCCTATTTAAAATCTATACAACCCCTATAAAACTCCTATAAAACCGCTGAATAACCCGAATTTGACGCCGCTTACGGGCCAATGCTGCGCGGAGGAAGGTTCAACAGTATGGCTGCGGCCAGCATATCACGCCCCGCCAAGAGGCAACTATCCTTGGTTTGGGGTTACCTTTTTTTGGTGGGGTCCCCTAATAAGGGGTATAGTATATTGGGGTCTATAGTGGGGTCCCCTTATTTTGGGACTACCACATAAGAATAGTCCTTTAGGGTTTCGGGTTCAGGGTTTCACGTAGGAGCTGGGAGCAGCTGTGTGATAGGATGAAGAAACGGAAGAGCAACACAGGCTGGGAACCATAATGGAGAACCAAATAGAAGGGGACAATTGAAATGACATTATCCCCCTTAATAAGCCCTATAGTAGTCCCGTATGTATAATCCCCTATATGGCCCCCCTCAAAGGAGTTTAGATTAAGGCTGACATGGACACCTCAAACTACGAGGGACCCCAGGGCTAGCCAACATACTGATCCCCTCAACAACCCCATTGTACACCTATTGTTTATAACCATTGATAAGTCCTGTTCCACGACGCAAGATTTCAGGCAGCTACTTCAAGAATGTTCTAGATTCCAGAGAAGACTCCTCCTGGCAGAACATTGAAACCCTGAACCTGTCACAGCAGGAGCGGTAACTCTATTGCTGCGAGTGAAGAGTGCCAGGGGTTTCAGCCCCTCCCCCAAAAATCCATATGACCCCTACAATATGATACAGAAGTCCACACCAGCATGACGAGGCCTCAGGCCCCCCACAACTGAGTGGTTTGATGGCAGGGCGTGGGAAAATGTTCGCTGAACATGAGACGACCAACGACCTTCTGGTTGAAAGGACGCAGAACCTACATACGGCTCAGAGACTCAGAGTTGCATCTGTCGAAACTGTCAATCATGGAATGCTGGGCGCAGTTGCAGTAACCAGTAGGTGGAAGGCGTCCTGCATGGCAGAAAGAGCCGATCTCAAGCCTACATGAATAGAGTTAATTCCCACTGAATTCGGGTGCGCACAGGTAGCGCCTGACATGCAAAATTGCGAATTCCCCTTCATTGAGAGCCGCATTTCACGGGCTGCTTCCAGCTGTTAAGGGTGACTCTCCTGTCATCCAGTTCCTGGCACTGCCTTTGCCCCTGTTGCAAGAAGTCTTCCTTCAACGAATCTGTGTTCCAAAGACACTGTCCACTGGGATCATTGACAAGTCATGGCAGTCTGGTACTTGCAGTAGTAGGTAGTACTCTACTAGAGCTACAGCAGTAGCACGATACAGCATCATCGCACCGCTGTACTAACGCCTAACGCCATCTAGCACGTACTATGATTCCCCCTGATGGCTGGATCCGGCTATCTAAACCTCTAAACCTCACGAATGTTGGCTCCTAAGTGATCCATGCCTTGCACAGGTCCAAGTAGCTGCAGCAGTAACATATGCCCTATGCCTTAAACCCTACATGTCAGCCATGCCAGTCTGAGGCCAATATGGTCTCGCATAATTTGGCTTAAGGGCCGGACAGCGAAGGTTTCAGCGCAGGGTCTCGACAACTAGAGGTTTAGGGGTATATTGGGGTTATATAGGGATAATGGAAAATAAAATGGAAACTACTATAGTATAATAGGGTATATATTGGGGTTATAGATTTTTAGGGCAAGTTTGGGGTAATATTATCCCCCTATAATGGAGAATCAAATGGAAAAGCAAATGGAAAATGAAATGGAAACTGGGATTATAGCGTTTATAGGGAGAATTTAGGTTGGGTACTGCCCCCACTCTGTAACAGTCTATATTACGGGTCATATTAAGGGCTATATATAACTATATTATGGGTATTATCCTGTTGTTACAGAATGGGGGCAGTACTCAAGGTTCCGGGTTCAGGTGAAAACCACGCCCATTTTTCTGCAATCAGGATGGGGGGAATTTGCTGAGTGATTATTCTTTCCTTTATAGTCCTTCACTTCAAGCGACGCATGTGTACTTCAAGACTCTCTACAGCGTGTGGGTCTACGGTGATATGGAGCGGAACGCCACAACCAGGGCACCCTACAGTATGATTGGAATGATGCCTGTAAAAGCTATCTTCCTTTGGCCTGCTGGTGGGGCAAACGGCGAACCAGGGCTGCAATTTTGCAGCACCTCATACACCCTAGATAAACCCAGATTCTACTGTTTGCTCCATCTTGTTTTCCAGTTGGTTCTCTATTTCTATTGGGGCGATATCCCTCCACAACCACGCATAATTAAAGGAAGATTCTTTCACCTTAATCAACCCATCCACCTTCGCTGTGCTTGTCAGTTGTGCATTGCGGCGGCTCTGGCGGTGGCCACATTGGTGCAAAAGGGCCAGAGCTCTGCTAGACAGCTGGTCATTTCATGACCAGCTAAGACAATGGCTTTGTAGCATCATTCTGCAAACAACCTTCAAGGGCTGCTTCATGAATTAAATGAGCCCTGAAAGTCCAGTTGACAAACAAACAAATGCAAAGAGCACCCTTGACCCTACACCTTGTGCGTCTAGTGGTTAGTAGGGAATACGGGGAATATAATCGCTTCATAAAATATTCCTGTCCCCAGAAAGTTATTGTGGTTTCAGGCTGCTGGCTTCCCCGCAGGCCCCCATGCCTCCTGTCAACGAAGGCCCTTCGCTCATCCGAAATCTCCAGTCCCTTGCGGGCTCTTACACACGGCTCGCGCAACCAAAGCTATCAAGAACACCTAATTTGGGAGTGTCTCTAAGTCGGGTGCACTGAAAACCCGCAGTTGCGTGCATCTACATCAGAAGGCCAAGAATAAGCCGTAAGGGAGACCCAGCTCTTGACCCTCTGAAGGCTCGGGCGCGCTCCATAGTTGAAGGGACTGTTGCCATCAAGAAGGGCTGACTGAAGATTTACTCTTCCAAAGAACCAGGCAGAAGTTGCTGTGCGGCACTGGCAGCACTGGCGGCACTGGATGATGAGCCCTAGCACAGGTCAGAGCAATGTTCTGATTGGGTAATGGTTGTCGCTGCTGGTATGGTTTTCAATTGGGGTTTGAGGTTCGGGGTTAATGAACGTTTCCTTATGCGATATCCTCTGTGTTTGAAGGTCAATGGCTACTGGGGCAATGGGATTACACTGCTGAACTTTGCGGAGGGGTCTGTTGCGTGGACCCACGCCGATCTCCAAAGGCGAGTGGGTAGACCTTCTTTAAATTATAAGGAAATCGGACTGTCAGGCAGTTTCCTTACATAGGGCGAATCCAATGGAAACCCCTATATCCTAGAAAGCTTCGTGCAGGGGCCCCTGATTTATGCGAGCTCCCATCGAAGTAAACTGGTAAGCTCCCAGATTACTTTGCTCAAGCTCTGCCAAACTCTCCTACCATGTCCCTGGAGGCTCGGAAGTTACCACTCTAACATCTTGACAGCGTATGGTTGCAGCCGGTAGAATTCCATGTAATCATTGCATACATGTCATATAATATGCCCGACAGCATGTACAACTTATTCAGGCTCTTGCATTATAATCTCTACCCTACATAACCCATCTTCCGTTTCATTTGCAATTGTCTTTTCCATTTGATTCTCCAGTATTGGGATAATATCTCTGGACCCTTTTGCACCAGGCTTGCACGTATCTCTGGACCCTAAACCCTTAACCCCAAATAGTGTCTCCATTTTGTTTTCCATTATCTCTAGGTACCTGATCTCTCTCAGACAATGTAATTAAGCTTTTCCGGGCTTAGCCCGAAACCCTGCACCCTCCCTAAACCCTAAACTCTGGCCTGAGTTTGCTGGCTGCCTTGTCCTCTCTTCCCGACGACAGGGAAAGCCCGCTGCTGCTGCAGGCGCCTCCTGCAACTCCACGCACTCCATCGTGATTTCTGGAGTATTAGGTTTCCCAAAATTAGGGGTACCTGCCTGGGGTCTCTAGAATAAGACCTATAGTATTTTGGGGTCTATTTTGGGGTCCCCCTACCACACAAACTATCTTTTCTCAGGAATCTTTTTCCCATCTACTCCGTAGCACGGGCCCAAGAAATTTGAGAACTGTTGCCGCGAACGGGCCATGAATGCTGACCAAGAAGTGAGAAGCAAGTAGAAGAGCAAATCCTGGGTTGCTGTTCCAGCGGGTTTCGTTTCTACATTAATTCTTCTCGAACCTGTGTGCTACTGCTCCAAACAACGTTCAGGAAGTTCGAGTGTCCACAGCCCACTCGGCCATGAAATTAGGCCAGGCTTTTTGCAGTACATGCTTTTTAGTAAAACCCAGCTTGCGGCGGTAGAGATTCTAATCCTAGCTCTTAACAAAACCAGCTGGAAGCTGTCAAAGAAGTTGAGGTTAGAGCAGCCAAGCTAAGTAGTAGCGCATGATGCCCTTGCCTACACCGAACTGGAATGGTACAGGCCGGAAAGCAAGCAACAATGTGCGAAGACAAGTCTGCTTTGTAGCCCATAGGCTATAGGATGTCCATGGCACTATTTTGGAAACCCTGAAGCCAAAGCAGTAAATGCTGCAAATCAACCTAGAATCAAGCTCTCCCGTGCTCCTCGCTTCGGCGATGACCCCACGAGTGACGGCCACCCGCACGCAGTAACGGCGGACCACCTGTGTCAGTCTACCCTCCCTCACCAGGAAAACTGCAAGACCATGAGAGCTATAGTCTAAACTCCTAGTATCCCCCTTAATAAGCCTTATAATACTCCCCTATATAATCCCCTATATAACATCCTTTAAGGAGTTTAGACCATAGCTCATGTAGAAGTCACTGGCGGGACAGTTGTCCGCATAAAACCTCCTCTTGGAGCTATAGTCCCCCTTAAGTAGATCGAATATTAGGGTT